GGTGCCGGCTGCCGCGAGCCAGGCGAGTGCGCGACTCAATAGTTATCCGAACTATTCCCAGGATGCACCTCAAGCGCCTAGAGTCATCAGTCCGCGACACCAGAAAGCGGAAGTAGAGCAACAGGCGGTGGCGGTGGTGGTGGGGGCTGCGGCGGGGAGTGACAGGGATGGTGAGGCGGATGAGGATGCGGACGCGGACGGCGAGATGGAGGTTGAGGGTGAGGAAGAGGAGGAGGATGTCGTGGAGGTTGTCCAGCCATCACCCCAGCCTCAACCGCAGCCTCAGCCTCAGCCTCAACAGAAGCAGCCTGTCAGCCCACCCATTGCAACACTCGCAGACGCGTCAGAGCCAGAAGGAGTAGCCGACAAGGACGACGGGGGTGCTGCCCATGCCCCATGAGCACACGCTTATCGATTCAACTAAGTATCTATCTACATATATCCGAATCTCTTTTTTCTTTTTTTCTTGTCTGCTGTCCTGCTGTGTCTGCCCTTCTTACTATGTCTCCCAACTCCCTTCTTCTTATTATTTCTTTTACTTACCCCATGGGCCCCGCTTGTGGGCGTGTACTTGTAGTTATGTAGTCATGTTGTAACTCACGAAACGAAACACCATCTTTCTTGGTTTTTCTCCCTTGTAAAAAATGTGCGTATGTGGTAGAAGTTTGGAAATAGAGCGCGATTTCACGGCGTCGTTGCGAGGTCAATGAATCTGGATTCTGGACTCTCGAGTCGGATCGAGGCTTACATTTCTTCTGCTCAAACCCATCCAAAAACTACGAGTCTAACAATATATGACCCCTGCCCGGATTGAACGGACGACCTTGTGGAGGTTCCTAAGCTGGAATCACACGCTCTACCGCTGAGCTAAGGGGTCGGATACCCAAGATCTGGATGACCTTGCCAGATTTTGACGACAAGGAGACAAGAGAAGAGGACATAGGGCCGAGGAATCATATTTACTTGGCAATCAGTATTCACAGTCTCGTTAAGCCTTCCGGGGAGGGACCTGGGATGCATATGCCCATTGGTCTTCTGTGCTTCAGACTGAGAGGTCTTATGTTCTCAATATTGTAGCATGTATTAGCTATCAACCAAAAAGAACTTGGACCGATCTCTTACTCCGACCTGCCTGGCTCGAACAGGCGACCTCAAGATGATTTTAACCATTACAGTCTCGCGCTCTTCCAACTGAGCTAAGGTCGGATGAAAGGAGCTTCGGTGGGTGTGCTGTGTTCGCGCGCGACGGGGAGCGGGAAGAGGGGCAAGGGCGTTATCGATGCGACTTTAGCATAACGTGAGTGTATAGCTACATTCGGATGGATGGAAGAGCGGATGAAGACGCATGGGGAGATGGGTACTCAGCACGATCGGATGATGTGGGGGTGACTCTCACGGCCGGAGGGGGGCAAGACGTGATCCCTCTTTCCTTAACCATCACCGTCCGCGCGCCGCAACACCGATCCCACCCGTCCGCCGCCAGGCCGAATACTTACCGCTGAGATCAGCAACACGTACTTGGATTGCTTTGTTTGGAAACACAACACAACACGCCGCGGCGCCCTTGCCTCTTTTCATCGCCTTTGTGGTTGGACGCGTGTTTGAGTGGCATTTCCATCGCGCTTTGAATAAAATCCTGTTGTTTGTAGGAGGGCGTCCTTGTGTTGTCATTGTGATTGGTTATTGTGTTTATGTCTACGCGCCCACGGTCGATGGTCGGTCCCGGGACATCGATGCAGCACCTCCCACCAGCGCGTTCGGGACACGGGTCGCCGACGATGGATCCGCATGCGATGCACCAGCAGCCTCCTCATCCTTCACCGCATCAGCAGCATAACCCATCGCCCCAGCAGCATCCGTCTTCGTTTCAGCAGACGCTGCAGCAGCAACACCATGGACAGAGGTCGGGGAATCCGTCTCCGACGATCCATCAGTCGCCTTTGTCTGCGCACGGGGATGGAGGAGGAGGAGGAGGAGGGGCGTTGGAGACGCCTACGCGGAAACCAAAGGGACCGAGTGTGCGTAAAGCGTGTGTGGCGTGTCATACAGGAAAGGTAATGTCTCCCCAGTTCATTTTAAGAAATAAAACTGAGGATGGAATAGACACGATGCTCGGAGTCTCTGCCATGCCAGGCGTGTGTGAAGCGAGGGATAGCAGCGACGTGTGCGTATCCTGATCCATCGAATGCGCTTTCGACGAATGGAGGCGGGAGCAACCAGACGTCTCCTCAGCAGGCTCCTCCTACGACACTGAACCCAGCTGTCCTAAGCCAAGGTGCGTTTATCCCCCGTATATCCATGTTTATGGCTAAATGGCGATAGTATCCCCACAAGGAGGAGGAGGTGTGATATCCAAAGAACCCACATTCCAAGTGACGCTTGGGCCAACGACGACAGCAGGCTCGTCGACGGCGTATTCTACCGCGTACGGCGGGGCGCAGTACTACACAGACACCCACGGGCGGTTTACAGGCGCGTCTTCGTCCTCCTTTCGTCCTGCGAAACGGGCGAGGGAGGAGGAGGAGGACGGGCAGGAGCATCCGTCTCCCGCTCCACCTCCTCCACCACCCCAGCAACAGCAACAAAGTGGTGGGAAGATGCCTCCACCGCCGACACCGCCCAAGGGGAGACCGCTCACGGAAGGAGAAGCAGCCGCACTCACACACCCGGGCGGAGGGATGCCGGGGTGGACACGGGGAGATATTTTTGTAGGGAGTTCTGCGCCTATCAGGATCGATCCACGCTTGCCTGTTAAGCTTGTCTTGGGAGAGGGCGGTCTCGTGAATTTTATCATCGGAGATGGGATGTAGGAAGCAATGTACATGTGTATTTATTGGTGTAATGTATTGTATTCTGTGATTGCTCGCATGCGTGAACCCCATATTCTGTACATTCAATCATTCCTAAAAGTACATGTACTACCCACCCCTCCTCTCCACTTCCTCCTTCAACGCATCCCGATTGACCTCCAACCACTTGATATACTCCACCGCCCTAAACAACACCCCGCTCTTCCCCTTCGTGTTCTTCCCCGCGCGCCCTTTGGGTCTCCCCCGCGTGGGCATCGCACCCGCCGGATCCCCGAGGAGATGGATAAGCTGCGCGTACGCATCCCGGATCGCGTTCCTCCGCTTCTGCTCAGACATGATATGGTTCAGCCGTTTCTGCGGCGTAGACAGAAGCGCTTTCGGTTGAACCTCTTTCCCTCCTCCTCCCTGCGTCGCTGGTGTATTTGCTGTTGTAGGCGACGTAGGAAGAGAGAGGTATTGGTGGTGGTTCACATGTCCCATGAAATCACTCGCGGGGTGTTCAGCTGTATAGCTTGGTTGTGCATAGTGTTGTTGTTGTTGTCTTTGTTGGGGTGGATGATGATACCCCTGCGAATCAAACGGCCCAGAAAGCTCCCATCGCTGCCCACCACCGAAAAACTCATTCGTCCCCGACCCAGAACCATAGTTCCCATTCTGCTGCTGCTGTTCTTGCTGTGGTTGTGATTGTTGAAACGAAGCAAACGGGTCTACCGCATCAGACGCGAACGCGTCTAGAAAATTAAACACCTGTCCCGCCTCTTGGTCGCTAAACAGGTCTGCGGACGAAGGCAGAGGGGGAGGAGGAGGAAAGTTGAATCCTACGAATTCGAAACAAAGAGGGAGATGAGATCACAGAATATCACGCGCTTCATGCACACACACACACCATTGAATATCCCTGCGGTGTCCTCCATGAACCGGTTTCGCTGGCTCTCGTCTGTGTGGTTCATTCCTGCGCCAGTCGTTCGGGGTATAAAGAGGTGGAGGTGTTGTTGGGGGAGCCCCGCTCGGACAGAGATGATGGCAGTCACTCGCCAGCAGAGTACTTGGGTATCTCCTGATCGCGGTAAACCCATAGGTCCCGAGTAACCGGTCGGTCTCTCGGGTCTTCTTTAGTACTTCCATGGGCCGTGGCTACTCGCATAGTCATTCAGGCTTGTTTCCCCACGGCTGGATGGGACTCAATGTTCTCGTTTCGGGAAAGCTTTCGCCGACTTCGAACAAGTACGAAGATGTACGAAGATGTCGTGAACAACTGTTCTGTCTTCTCCTCACCCCTTCGCCTTCTCTCTCCATGCCAACTCAGATTCACTGCATACACGGATTGGATGTGCAGAATAGCATCTCATTGTACGGCGACCACGGAAATGCTGCGTGTACCTCTCTCTTCTCTTCCGGTGTCGCTGTCTCTCTTCCATAACCCTAAACCCATCTCCAACACTTTCTTGTTCGACTAGTGCGCCAGCCATTCGGCGTTCCTCCCATTCCCATTCCCCTCCTTACGAATCTGCAAAGGAAGAATCCCGCCACCCTTCTTTCTTCATGCCAATTGTATACATGGACGCGCATCTCGTCAAATCTCGTTTTCGGGGCGCGGCTGGAGATGCGTGCACATTCCTCTATCCAGACCAGGTCGATTCTCGCGCGGTGCATCTTCCCACTGAGTGTCGTCCTTTCCGCACAGTTTTGGAGGTGGTGCACGGAGGAAAGTCTGACCGTTGGACGTGAAAGGGAAGGTAAGGTCTAGTACGAGGTGTTGAATTCCCTTTGTGTATTCCACCGCGAGCCACTACTACTACGGCTCTAGAACCTGGCGGTATCCACCGAAAGTAGACGACTCAGAGAGCAGGACGACGCCTCGTACTCAAGCACAACGGTGTGGGAACGAGTCCAAGCGCAAAGACGTGAGGATATCCCGACCTTAGCTCAGTTGGAAGAGCGCGAGACTGTAATTGGATATCATCTTGAGGTCGCCTGTTCGAGCCAGGCAGGTCGGATGAGGGATTCTGCTAGGGTTTTTCTTGCGTTTCGAGAGGAGGTTGAAATGCGCTACGCGCGCGCGACACGAGGAAAGCAGCTTTTTATTTGGGGTGACACTGGGATACTTTGGAACCACTATTTTAGTAGGCAAGCTCACGATTCATTGCATTGTCCGATTTTTTGGAGTTGGGCCTGGCCTTGACCTCACGCGACCCCTTAGCTCAGTGGTAGAGCGTGTGATTCCAGTCCACAAGGTCGTCCGTTCAATCCGGGCAGGGGTCATATATGGAGAAGGGAAAGATTTTGCTGGGAGACGGTCGAGCTTCATTTTGGAGTTGTATCTTTCTCACTGGCTCAGTTCTTACACAATTCAAAAATGAGAAGTCAGCTTGGGATGAATACGAGTACTTCTTTAGAATGTGTACTCTGTTATTTTGAATGAAGGTGAAGGTGAAGGGAGCGGGTGTGATGCGAAATGAAGTGATCGGGAAGGGTGTTTGCTGATTGACCATGGACCATGACTTGCTTTCTCATCCAAGTGGTGCGACGCGGTGCGGGGTGCGATAGCAAGTGACCTGGATGGAAGAAAGATGAAGGATCGAGGAGGGACCGACCGGGCCGATAGACAGACGTATCTGGGCGGTGGACTATCATCTCTAATCTCTCGACGGCCACGACCAAAGCACAGAAGATGAGCGCACAGACAGCATTCCGATGGGGGATTATTGGGACGGGGAATATCTCGACCAAGTTTGCGCATGATGTGCTTGTGGATCCTTCGACGTGCGGTTCTATCTCACCTTTAGAATTCCCCACTGAACTGTGTTCACAGGCGTTCAAAGGGAGAACAGCATGCGATTACAGCTGTTGGGTCTCGCAACACCGCGTCCGCACAGACATTTATCGACGCCCTCCCACTCAGTGCAGAAAGTCGCGCGACAATCGAAGCACACGGGTCGTACGACTCCCTTCTGTCCTCTCCCTCCATCGACGCAGTATACATCGGGACTCCGCACTCGGGGCACTACGCCGTCGCCCTCGCCGCACTCCGCACACCCTCCCTCCGTGCGGTCCTGGTGGAGAAACCAGGCGTGTGTTCGCGGGCGGAGTGGCTTGCCCTGGAGCGCGTGGCGGAGGAAGAGAAGACGTTCCTGATGGAGGCGATGTGGACCGCGTTCCAGCCTCTCGCGCGCGTTGTACGGGATGCGCTCGAAGGAGGGGGGATCGGGAAGTTGCACACGGTACAGGCGGATCTGTCGATCGATATGAAGCCCGACGCTCTCGCAGACACGCACCGGATGCTGGATCCGCTGCTGGCGGGAGGCGCGCTGCTTGATCTGGGACCGTACCCCATGGTCTGGGCTGTCCTCGCTGCAGGCGCACCAGGCGAGTTTGGGGTGAAGGCGTCGATGGTCAAGGCGCGTACGGGCGTCGACCTCCGCAGTGCTTGGATCCTCGACTTCGGAGGAGACATCCAGGCGGTGCTCTCTGCGTCCATGGACACGCCCAGTCTCACCCCATCTGTCATCCTCAGAGGCGCCCGGGGTTCCATCAGAGTCTACGGCCAGCCATACTGCCCCACACACGTCGGCATCACCCTCGGCGAAGAAGAAGAGGTGTTTTATGGCGCGGAGGGGAAGCTGGGGAGTGCTCCTCCTCCTCCGGCAACGCAGGAAGCGTGGGCGCCAGGCTCGGACATCGCAAAAGCGGCGCGCGGGTACGAAGGCGCGGGGTGGCATTTCCAGGCAGACGATGTCGCTCGCTCCGTGCGTGCAAACCTCCTCCAGAGTTCCGTCTGGCCGTGGAAGAATACGAGCTTTGTGATGGGCGTGTTTGATCAGGTTAGAAGTCAGGGAGGGTATGTCTTTCCTGAAGGCGTTTTGGGAGTAGTGGAGTAGGCGATTGTAAAGAATGTATGTATAGGTAAATTTGTCTATGTATTCAGCTTGCTTCGTTTAACGATAGTTCGTGCAATGGCAAGTATCTGTGGCTGTCGCCTCGTAGACGGCACACGCTTCCACGACTTCGTCAAAGTCCTCGCGGAGCGTCAAATAAGCGACACTTCCTTTTAAACCCATTTTTACTGCTCTCCCGCTCTTTCATTCCTAAACACTCCCAAGTGAGTCTGCACCACTAGTACGACCTCTTTCCTTGCTGCGTCTCCTCTTCCTCTGCTACGTCTTCCTCCTCAATTAACCGCCGATATCTTTCTTGCCTTGAACATGCGCCATCCGCTAGTACCTTTGGAATCATGATGTTCCAATAGATAACGGCAAACACCAAAAACAACGGTCCTTCTTACCCTCGCTCATGGGAGAGTCTACATGTCAAAGTCAAAGGAATAGACTAGTATCAACAGGTTATCAGTTAGTCAGTGCATATCCATACGACTACCGTTCACGGAGATGTGCTGAATCGGTACTCGACTTGATCCTTTTGGTTCACTTACCGCCCAAAAGATACAAAGGCTGAGGAAAGCGGAATACGACAGAGCTACGGCTGAGTCTAATAGCCAGAAGCTAACGGCATTAATATACCGGTGCTCAAGCTATGGATGCTGGTACCAGTGACTGAACTAAGAACTTGCAAGGAAACGCAAAAAGAGCCGCTGCCGCTTAGGCTTTCACTTCTAAGTTCTAAGTTCTAACTCATAAGTTCTTGAAAGTTAGATCTAGGACTCTGGGACCCAACGCCAATAGTAGCAAAACACGTGCGATGCTTTTCGAATCCGACCTGCCTGGCTCGAACAGGCGACCTCAAGATGATTTTTATCCAATTACAGTCTCGCGCTCTTCCAACTGAGCTAAGGTCGGATGAACGGTGGGTGGGCAGCGCAAATACGTCCGCGTGGCGCGGGGTGGGATAACGACTGCCCTTGCTTTTCTGTGGTTAAGTCGTTTCAAGATAATTGAGTAGACATGTGAGATGCATATTTTACAGCTACTTGTCCTCTGCAGAGTCTGGATGCCCACCAACCTTCGCTATCTAACGCGATCTTCACTTCGGACCGAATGTCCGCTTCGGCGTCTGTGACTTTTTGACCGTGACGTTCACGCGTCTTTGACCCACAAACTTTTTGGGCTTTTTCCTGCGCTTTAATCCGCGGGGCTTTCATCCACACACACACACATACACATGGACGCTTCGAATCCGTTCCAGACTATGACGACGGCGCAGCTCAGCCAGACCGTGTCCCAGGTGCGCTGAATACCACCATCTTGGAGGAAAGAACCAACAAAGTTGACCTCGGACTCCAGCTTCAATCCAAATACGGTCCCGCCCCAGGCTCAACCAAAGGTACGCTTCCCCGCTTCTCAGCACCCAGAAAGAATTGGTGTATACTAACCGCACAGGAGCTCAGAAGCCCAATACATGAAGAACCTGCAAAACTGGTCTACCTCGACGACGCCTGTCCCCGCGAACGTCGCTGTCTCAAGCCGGAGTACGCGTTCGAGGAGGAATAATAATAATACTACGACGGCGACGCCTACGCCTACCCCGACGCGTGCGCCGTCTACTGTGCCTGTGCCCGTGCCGATGTATATTCCTCCGCCGGTGCCTGCGCCGAGTGGTAGTGGTAGTAGTAGTGCGCCTGCAGCGATGCAAGGAGTATTGCCGACGCAGCCGCAAGCGATGACTTCGACGTATGCGTCCCGGCTGCGCACAGGCGCGACGCTGCTCATGCAGCCCATACTCAACCAGGAGAAACAGACGGTCGCGGCAGGCGGTGGTACGGGAGCAGGCACGGGGTCAAGGACATCCCGCAGGGGCGCGGCGATAAACTACGCGGAAGTGCCGTCTGGGGATGAGTATGAGGATTCGGATGAGCAGGAGGAGCAGGAGGAGGACAGTGGTTTTGGTGTGGGTGGTGGTGTGGGTGGGGGTGTGGGGAGTCCCATGCATACGCCTACGCCGCCCCCGCCTCAGCCCGCACAGCAACAACAACAGGACGCACCGGTGGCAAGCTGTCTCGGTGGGATCCCATCCGAAAAGACAATCAAATCCCGCCCGTTCCTCCCCACGCCGTTCTCCGCCCCACCGTACCCTCTCCCTCTCCCAAGTGAACTCTCCGGCGCACGCGGGAAAGCAACCAGCCTCGTCCCCGTCCGCGTCGAATTCGAAACGGAGCGGGAAAGAGTGAGGGACAGTTTCTTGTGGAACCTGAACGAGGTCGGGATCACACCAGAAGCGTTCGCGCGGACGTTCTGCAACGATGTGGATCTGCCGCTTGTTCCATGGGTCGAAACGATTGCGGCGCAGATAAAAGCACAGCTTGATGAGGCTGTGGATTTCACGTTTATTGATTCCATGAACGTCGAGGACACCGGGGGAGGAGGAGGAGGGGAGTGCCGTGTCATCGTGGCGATAGACGTGCAGATTGGCACGTTCCATCTCGTGGACTATATCGAATGGGACCTGATGAGCTCCTTGACGCCCGAGGCGTTCACCAAGCAGATGTGTGCCGAAATGGGGCTTGGGGGTGAGGCGGGCCCGCTTATTGCGCACGCGATCCACGAGGAGCTCCTCAAGCATAAAAAGGACGCCTTGGAGTGGGGCGTGCTGGGGCCGACGAGCCAGCAGGACCGGTCTGCGGTGATGAAGGACCGGACAGGATTGGGAGGGTGGTCTGGGCGTGGAGGGAGGGCGCCGCAGACGCTGCAGAGCGTGTGGAGGGATTGGGTCGATTTGAATGAGTTCTCGACAAGGTGGGAGGAGCTGAGTCCGGAGGAGATTGAGCGGAGGGAGGGTGAGCGGGATCGTGCGAGTAGGAGGCTCAGGAGGGAGACGAGTAAGTTCCAGAGCCAGGCGTTGGGTAGGAGGAGGTGGAGGTAAGGAGAGGGCATACCATGTAGTAGTAGTATCGAAGTTGTTATTTGCGTTTTGAGTACCGTACCGTTGAGAATATGTAATCACCAGTGTGTTTGTAGTGTGGAGAGTGTACCGTTCGTTGTTTCTCTCCGTCTCTCTTTACTCCTCTCCACTCTTGCGCGACAGTGAAATTGGCCGCCGATCACTTGACAGACCCCTTAGCTCAGTGGTAGAGCGTGTGATTCCAGCTTTCCTGGCACATCCACAAGGTCGTCCGTTCAATCCGGGCAGGGGTCAATTCTAGAACCCCGTAGCGATTTTTTCGCCTTCTGCTCAATGAGCCCTGCGGCTGAGCACCGTTGTTACTAGGCCTCGAGTCTCGACTCACGGACTCCACTGGTGAGGAAGCAGTGCATAGATATCTTTTTATTTGTCCCACGCCCCCTCAGTCTCTGGGAGAAAAGTCCAAGATTCCGGTCCCCATCTTGGTGAAGGATTCATTGTTGCCACGAGAACGCCACTCACTCAACGTGGACACGAATCTCAAATATGCCGCCCGTCTCAAGATTGACGCCAAAGTCCAGCGATTCATGGTCGTACAACAATGCCATTGCCGCACATGGATGGAAACAAGTGGAAATGTACAACAACATAAACGTCTCAACGCGCTTCTACATTGTACAGTACACATGAGGGGGGCATGATTTGGATGGGATACGTGAGTAAGTAGGAAATACAAAGACGAGGAAAACCGATGCGAGAACAGAGATGCGATTACAGCTTGTCGTAGTACGTGTCGAGGGGAGGCACCTCACGCTGTGAAAGAAAACGGGTTCATTATAACGAAGAGAAGATGTCAGAAACATGGACGAACCTTGAGGCCCTTGCGGGTACGGATGTTTTGCACAATCTCCTCGAGCTTGCTGCCCTTCTCAAGCGCATCACCGTTCATCAACTCCCAGTGGTCGAAGACGGACTGGGGGAAGGCCTGGCCACCAGTGTGTTGCCTGAGCTCGCCGTTGAACCCGAATGACTCGGCGACAGGAAGGTAGGCCTTGACAGTGAACATGGGCGTTCCGGGCCTCTGCTCCTCAGAGAACACTTGGCCACGACGCTTGTTCAGGCAAGAGTAGATACCACCAATGGCATTCTCTGGGCACTGAATCTCAACTGCATAATGGTTTAGTAAGACGAAAAATTGGGAGTTCGAGACACTAACCCTGGAAGACAGGCTCCTGGAGCGAAGGCTGCGCGAGCAGAGCGGCGGCATAGCAGACACGACGGCAGACTGGAATGAGCTGTCCTCCACCACGGTGAATAGCATCGGTGTGAAGCTAGGGGGCTATTGTCAGAAGGAGTCGCCTCAATGATAACAGGAAACGTACAGTGACATCAAGGATGTTGAAGCGGATACCACGCATGTTCTCCTCGCACAGAACACCCTCCTTCGTCGCCCACTGGAACGCAGCAATGCAAGAATCCTTGATTTCGTTCAAATATTGCACACCCTTGGTGGCATCAACCAACAAGTTGGGACCAGTGGTGTCGGGGCCGAAACACCAGATCTTGCGGGCATCGGTGACATCCCAGCCGTACTCATCAGCCAGAACACGAGCGCGCGCCTTGAAATCATCACGGGGGTTGACCTTGCCATCCTCAATGGCCTTGGTGACCTCGTCGTCGAGAGGCATCGCCTTCACATACAGACGGTTGTGCTTGTTCTGCGACTTGGAGAGAGCGACCATGGAAGATTCAGCCTTGACAGTCTCACGGTATGGAACAACGGGGTCAGAGATCTTGAGGGGGACACCAGCGTGGTCATCCTGGAGATCCTGCACAGAACATTAGTAGGTGATGCTGGTGCGATGACATTGACGCATACCTTCAAGCAAATCTCGAGGTGGAGCTCACCAGCACCGGCGACAATGTGCTCACCCGTCTCAGCAATCCATGCCTGGACACACGGGTCGGACTT